AACAAATTTCTTTTCCTTAAGAGCAATAAGTCTCGTGAATTTAGAAATCGTGTGACTGCTTTGAATAGGCGGAATAATATTTGCGAAACGGCTGAGTGTGATCATCTGGTAACAAGGCCGTTAATAAGTCGCGTGAGTCATCGCCTGACTGCCGTATGGAATCTGGCTACGACTTACAATACAGCAATTTTGAACAAATTGCGATTCGGCATATCGCGCCGGAAACTCCGTATATAAAAACTATAGCGTCAATATATTGAAGTCTCGCGATTCTGCAACACACCTGTCGTTCTTGGAAACTTATCATCCTTTAAAGAAAACCTGTTTTCGGACTGCAATTTTCGAAATTCTTACTCCTTTTCCATTAAAACTTGATAACAAAATTATTCAGTTTTTACTTGAGTTAAATTATAATTATCTTGTCTTAACGTATGGCGCGAGAACATTTGTGAAGTACATATTCATTAGATAATTTTGTTAGTTGCTTATGCGTAAAAAAAAACATCGCAAATATTGTGACAAATGTGTCTCGATTCTGTTATCTTTTTTTCTGAATAGTTAGCACAGCAGTAGAACAATAATAACCTTGTTCCAAATATAAACTCCATATACTGTTGAAAATCCTTTGACAAATTAAGAATCTGACTGTGTAAATGTAGCTAACCAATCACTGAACATTTCTTGTATCACAGTTCGTGCTATGAAACATGTAACTTCTCTTTGTTTTATAATTGAATCTACTTCGCTGTTGTATATACTGTTAACTTCACTGAAAATAAAAATAGTTCTTACTGCAAGTACATTGTTCTCGTACTAGTATAAAGTTATTTGAAAGTCCAAGTTTGTGTCGTGAGTTATGCATCTCACCTCAAAAAAACAAATCCAGAAGTTATTATACGTTCGTAAGGAGGAGAAGTTAAAGACAGTAGCACGTAAGAAACATGCGACCGTGGGATGATATCGTCCCCCATGTTTCTGAGAATTGTGAAAATATCAAGAAGAAAAGTTTGTGCATAGTATGTATCATTTCTCATCTTTAATGTGCTCGTAATAGTAATGTTATTCTCTATTCTAATAGTCGTCACATTTAATACATTCGGTATAACAACAAATGCAACCAAATGTGTGAATAGTAGAAGTGTGATGGGAAATACTGTATGCAACGTATTTGTTTCAGATTTTTGATATTCAAAAGGCATGTTTGGAATAGCTGTATCAGTGTATTTATGTATAATTTGGATGGTAAATCTAGCCTTGGTCGCTGGATTTTCCCAATGTGGAAAAATCCATTCATTTGGAATACGCGATAAAATCAGAAATCTATGTAATAAAAATAAAATATTATGATGATACATAAGTAGCGTAAATAAATACAGGGTGTTTCAGAACTATGGGATCAAACTTCTAGGGGTTATTCAGTGCAACAGTAGAAAACATTTGAGTATAGGGACCCATGTCCGGAAAAGTGTCACTACCGCACTACGGCCCTAAGACGCGTTAAAATTTAGAAAGACGATGAATTGCCT